AACCTGTGAGGTTCAATATGTGTCTATCCTCATTCAACGCGTCCATGTGTCCGGCACTCCAACATCACTCAACCCGTGGGGTTCCAGCAGCTATCCCCACGCAACCCGTCTATGTGTCTGGCAATCTCAAACCTCCCCTTTCCGTGGGGTTTCAGTATACAGCTATAATCACTCAACACGTCTATGTGTCCGGCAATCTCCTACATCACTCAACCTGTGAGGTTTTCGTAAGCAATCCTCACTCCACGCATCCATGCGTCACGCGTCTTTGGTAGCGCATACTATGGGGGCTATATTTGGGGTGGCGTGTTTTACAGCGCTTTGCCAACAGCGCCAACCCACTGAAGTCTAGATTGCGAGGGGGAAGGGGGGGGAGGGGACTATTAGGGGCAAAAGATGCCTCAAGTCTCTACGTATGCAGCCTGGACACAAAACAACACAGGTCCACCCTTGCAGTCGTATGCATATCATATCACATCATATCACATCATATCACATCATATCAGCTGTGAAGTGGTGGTGAGCAAACCAGCACGCATTGTGCCCTAGAGGTATGTATGTCCGAACAAACCAAGCACAGCGAACAGGTTGCCCGGACAACAAAAGAAGCACCACCCACGTGAGGATGTCATATCTGCAACTACACACAACGCGATAGAATTGCACCCGTTGAGTTGATTCGCACCTGTTTCTCGTACATTTTTTCCTCCACCGTGCCTGTCACCACGAGACGACGTTCAGTTCGAAAACAACAAACATGACACACGCAACAAATTTTGCGCGTGAGAGGGAGGGGGGGGGGAGGGTAAGAGAAGGATTTAAAGAGCGAGGACAACACACCAGGACACGCTACGCTACACATGGGCGACGATGACGACAACAAAACGCAACATGACAGTACGGAAAGTGCGTCAAGTTAGTCTGCCAGATCTCCCCCCCCTCTCCCTCTCTCTCTCTCTACCTCTCGCTCTCTCTCTCTGTCTGCATCATTTTTCTCTCACCTGCCGCGATCATCCTGTAAACGATCACGTCGCGCTTCTGCCCGATGCGGTAGGCTCGATCAACAGCCTGTGTGCACGTGCGAGAGAGAGAGGGGGGGGGGGGGGGGGGGGGGTACTCATAGTCGTGCATGCCGTAGTCGTTAGACCATTGACCTCGCATCCCNAGAGAGCCTATCGAACAATGTCTCCAAAGCGACGTAGTCTATGATGTATGAAACACAACGTATCACAAGCAAGCTGACATTTACACAATAACAGTAACCTTTGGTCGGCAGCCTGCGCACGGATACATCCATACAATGTTGTCAATTTGTTCTTGTAAATATTAACTCCACGGCAACAACAACAACAACAACAACAACAACAACAACAACAACAACAACACAACAAGCGGCAGCCAGTACCACACCACAGCCTGAATCGGTCAGTCACACTCAGTATGGATCGACACACAAGGGTTGTCGTGTCGCAAGAAAATTCGCCAGTGAAGCAGCAAAAACAGCCGCTGTCGCGACCACCCTTTGAGTGCACAGGCGTTGCCTTGGTTTCGCAATGACCGCTATGTTGTCTTTTACCGCAGACTACAGCGCGAGACCCGTGCAAACAAATTCATCCATACTGTACAACCGTTCTTTGATTCGGAAAACACGGTTTCTTGCAGTGGACTGAAGGGTAAGAAAACACATTTCAGACCAATGGCAACGCAGGTGGGTCATGCTACCCAATGAATCCATCGCGAATTTACCCCGGACGTTTTTCTACGGAAATACTGCGGAACAAAAGGATGAGTTCTGCTGAGCTTCTGTAAGAGAAAACCATGTGCTCCTGCAAAAAACTGAAACACAAATGTGACCTTCTGCTGTCTGTACCTGCATGTCGTCGGCTGGATTCCAGGAGGGGTCGAAAAGGATCACGCGGTCGGCCCCCGTCAGGGTGATGCCGGTGCCGCCGGCGCCGGTGCTGCAAATTCAGAGGACGAACAAACGACAACGGCGCGGGTGGACGGCAGTTGGAAGGGGGGTTGCAGATGGGCGTCCTTGTAGCCGGACAACAAAGTGACGTGGGATGTCAGAGAGAGGGAGAGAGGGCGTCGGTGATGTAGACAGACGTGCTTCAACATTGTACGACGCAAGCAACACGCATCCCACCCCACCGAAAGACAGAACAGCCATATTACCTGAGATAGCGAGAGGCACCCGCTCCAGTTGGGCCAGTGTGGGTGTTAGACGGCACTCGAGCAGAGGTCGGAACGGTTTGTTTCATGGAAGATCACAACACCAACAAGGAAGAAGAAAAAAAACAAGGGCTGGAGATCGCCAACGAGACACGATACGACAAGGCCAGCAAAGTGTGTCTTCTTTCACACGAAAACGCCAACAGCAATGACGACAACGTCAACAGCAATGACGAAAACGCCAACAGCAATGACGACAACGCCAACAGCAATGACGACAACGCCAAGTGCAACAACGACGACAACAACAAGTGCAGTGTAGCAAACCTGACGAGGCGACAACAACAACAACGACAACAACAACAAGTGTAGTGTAGCAGACCTGACGAGGCAAACGGAGATCTTGTTGTTGGCGTTGAAACGCGCGATGGTGTGCTGTCTCTCGAGGTCGCTGTGTCCGCCGTCGATCCGGCACACCCGTAACCCCGCACCCCCCTCCCCCCTGTCATCATTGATGCACCTCTCGAGAATGTCCAGCATGCGCACGAAGCGACTGAAAACAAGAACCCTGATTATTGCCCATCACAGTGTGTATGAGAGAGAAAGAGAGAGAGAAATAATTAAAGAATAGTAAGAAGGAGAATGAAGGAGGAGAAAGAACAACAACTACAAATATCAACGGAAAGGGAGGCGTCATCCTTTGCACGGACAAATACGCTTGCCGAAACAAACAAAAAGCAGAGCAGCAGAGGACGTGAAACTTCACACGAACGACCGATCAGACACGTGCGCGTCGCCTCGACTTGTTACGTACCTGTGGCCGGCGCTGCACGCCTCCTTGACGATGTTGAGCGTGACCTCGAGCTTGTTGCAGTCCTTGAGAAGGCTCGAGACAGACACTTTCGGGTCCAGCATCCACGGCTCGTCCAGAGGGTACGAGGACACAAGAGGGTGGAGACACACCTGGGACATCAGTGCAGGAGACGGGCGAAAAATTGACAACAGGTTTCTCTTCATTTATTTTACAAAGAAATTAGAAGCAGCAGCAGGAGTGGGCCCTGTACAGTGCCAGTCAAATCTCCGGACAAGGCTGTCCATCCCAAACTAAAACCTATCTACTTCTGTGCTGAATATTATATCAGCACAGGGACACTGAATAGTGCCGGTGGCCTAGTACAGTGCCGGAAAAAAACCTCTGGACACATACCGGCACTATACGGGGCCCACCACTGCAGGAGCAGTAGTGCGAAGGGGGTGGAGACAGAACGCAACATCCGAAAGAGGAATTTGACAACAGCAAGCAGCAGTGGTCGTCGTGCAGAGGGAATGGAGGCCGAACACAACAGACAGCTGCATAGAGTAATTGACAACAGCAAGCAAGCAGTCGCGGTGGTACATAGTATTATAGTGCAAAGGTTGTGGAGACAGAACGCAACAGCCACAAGTGGGTTGGACGGAACAAAATGTGGTTGGACCGAGCAAAAGCGACACAGCAGTGGGCCCAGTACAGTGCCGGGTGTCCGGAATAGTGCCGGCAAAATCTCTGGACACATACCGGCACTATGCAGGGCTCACTACCATACCACTAAAAGGGGACCGAACAAAACAACAGAAGCGGCAAGACAACAGCCGTGGCCGTGAATACATGCGAAGGGAGGAAGACCTGACAAAACAAACTAGGACAAAACACACACACACTACCACACCGCCACACAAGAAATGACAGTCAAGCAGCAGTAGCTGCGGCAGGTCCAGGAATAGTCGTCAATCTGGTGCGGAACAGACGAAAATCAAACGCCCTTTGTTTGTGCGGGTACGGGCGTACGTACGTAAAACGACGGAACCTGGGGCTGCGCTGTGGGCTGCCCCCCCCCCCCCCCCCCCCCCCCCCCCCCCCCCCCCCCCCCC